CTTTCCCTAAATCTGCACGCGGAAAGGAATGAGAGTGGGTGATCACGGTCCAAATTTGAACTATTGCCACACTGAAGTACGCGATGGCCACGCCAGGCATGAGATCTAAATCCACAAAGGAGGGAAGTAGAACATTAAACAATGGATTTTTCCTTAAGTACATTAAGTCAGGAGCCAAGCTGATCATGGGAAATGTTATAATGGTGCTAAATATTTTGTGGTATAGATTTACAGTTGAGCCTTAAGTTGGCAAACATGGAGAGCTATTTATAGATTCCTAAAGGGCTATTTTTTCCAGGGGAGAGAAAAAAGCCAGGGTCTTTCATTTTGTTGAGACTGATTTTTTTTCCTCTGAAAGTTTATGTGACATTTGGCTCTGTTTTGAGAGATGATTTTTTTTTTTTCATTTCTGCAAGCTTCATTCAGTTTTTGAAGTCCGGCTGTCCCACCTTTTAACACACTGTTCTGGTTATTTTCTTTTGACAAGGATTGTTTAGAAGCCACATGCTTAATTCATGTGATTGATCAGTATCTTCAGTTTTCTAAATCTTTGCCTTTTGTTACATTGATAAAGTTATCTATATTCCCTCTTTTCCCCCACCTCTTCCTGTTTGGAAGCAATAGATTAGTACCATTTAACTTATTAAAAACCCTTCTCCCCAATGTTACTATGATTTAGAGTTTGACTTTTGCTTTTAGAAAATACACAATAATCTTTCTTCTTTTAACTTTCAAGAGTTAAATTTTTTAACAGTTTCAGCTGTACATCTTTGTGTATCTAAAAGCGTCTTTAGTTTTCCCTTCACTGTTGAATAATAGTTTAGCTGGGTATAAAGGTCTCTATTGACAATAAATTACCCTAAGCATTTTGAAGATATTATCTTCTGATATCATCTGTTATATACATATATCATTCCTTTATACTCTCTGTTTTGCTTGGGTTGCTTTTAAGATTTTCTTTTAGATTTATGTTGCAGTTTTACTACAATTTGTCTATATGTGGATTTATTTTTATTTAGTCAATTTTGCTATGAGTCAACTTTTTATCTGAGGACTTATTTCTTTTTCCAGTTGTAGAAAATTCAAATATCATAGCTTCAAATGCTGTTTCTCTAATAGTCTTTACAGTCTATTCTTTTGAAATTTCTATATATTTTGATGTTTCTCAATCCCTTTATCTATCTACTATTATCATCTAATTATATACACTATTTTTTGTCTCTCTGTGCTGCATTCTGGGTAAAGTCTTCAGTATTATCACCTAGTTACCAGTTCCTTTTTTTATTGTATCTAGTCTAGAACTTATTCTGTCTATTAAGATTATTTTTTGTTTTGATTTTAATGTCTTTTTTTTCTACGATACATTTTCTGATTTTTTTTCCCCATCCATTTCTTCTTATGGCACTTTGGTGCATTTTTGTACTTTTATATGTCTGTTATATCTTTGGGCAACCTAATCATAAGTAATTTTGATCATAATTAATTTAAAGTCATTGTTAGATGCTTCATAAAATTATTTTTTTCTTGAATGAATTGACATTCTGATTGTTGCTTTGCTCAGCTATCATTTTTGGTGATTTTTTTTTTTCATAGTTGGGAATTTTCATTTGCTCACTCATTTTAGTAAGATTTTTTAAAAATCTGCTTGTTCTCTTTCACCTTCTGTTTTTCAGTTGCCTAAATCCATCCCCTTGTTCTTTCCCCCAAACCTCATGAACATTTAGAGCTCCGGTTCCATGATGATATTGTAGATATATATTTCAAAGAGTGGCCTGGTTTAGATCCTGGTTGTAAGGCTGCGTCAGTGTTCTCTCTCACTAAGCACGGCCTTCTTTCAGGGGTGAGAGACCCTCATACCAGTGCTGACTTCAGCCACTGAGCCTGACTTGTGCCTTTGTTTTGCAGAGCACTCATGT